TAATATTTTCTTTTTCTTTTTCCTCATAAATAACAACAACCAAGAACTACTGACGTAAAAAATAGCATGGTTTACTTTGCAAAATGGAACTCATAATTACAGAAATGTACAAACTGGTAATCATAGCAAACAAAGTTAGTCATATAAGTGATGAATGATCACTGAGCCACAACAAAATCAATCCTGCAGCTCTGSTGGAACCTGTTAGCCACTAGTTAACTCTAAGATGTAATTTGTATTGGTGCAATGTTTTCCATTACAGAGCATGTCATTCCCTAGAGTATCATTTCTTTGAGGTTTTATGGTTGTCAATGASAAGACACATGAATATGGATACAACTCGAGCAAAGAATCTCATTCTCTAGGGAATGATGTGGTCTCAAATGCAGAACATTGCATAAGGCAAATTTAAGGAACAACAAGGAACTGTGCTTCTTTTTTTCCAGCCAGTCTCTGCTTGGCTCCCAAGGGGGTGAGAGAAGGGGGTATTTTGATTAATTTAACCTTCATCCCTCTAGCTAGTATGACATATTTTTTAACATTCAAAGTTCAGAGGGTAAACCACCATTCGTAAAGCATACTGTTAGTATTTCATTAACTAAATGTTTCAATTTGACAAAAAAGGGTTAAAATACTTGATTTTCGATCTATGCTACCAACAATTCTTCAACTCAGTAACTATTTAGTGTAAATATTATTTGAAATATATAAAACATTCTTTGTTCATGCCTACAATAAATTGCATAGCTATGAATGATCATTAATAATAACTAATAATATCTATCCCTTCCTAATTCTAACTTGTATTCAGAAAATTGCTTCTCCTTAGACAATAAAAACTACTTTGAATCAAAGGAAAATATTTAATAAAAAAGTTAATTTTTCAAATTTATACATCTAACATAGACCCCTTGCAAAGATATTATTGATTGTGGAGTGCTATTATGTTGAGATTGCATGACAATGAGGACAGACTCCCCAGAGGCAGAACAAACTATACAAATTTGATGAGTTTAATCCCCAGGGTTTACCGGCATTTGCATTGACAGCAGTCTATTGCAAAGTGCACGTCGCGATTTTTGTCTGGGGTGGCCGYGTAGCAATGCAAACGCCGGTAATCAAACCTGAGGTAAGAGGCAGGTGGACTACAACCATGATACAAAATACTAGAGATCAGACAAGCTTTACCTCCCTCTGGCCTCACCTTTGGTAAATACCGATCATGGACATCATTATCACAATCAAGAGGGTTTGCAAGTGGCCTATTATAGCATGGCTTAAGCAGTCATAATCCCAAGGTCRAGAGAAAAACTGGGTCCAGTTGGCATTGCAGTGCATTTTGGGGCTGTTTGGGGACAAAATAAATGCCATCTTGGTAACCTGCCTCTGAAACGGCCCGCAATGCACTGCAATGCACTACAATGCCCTGCAATGCAACTTGACCCTGTTTTTTTTCTTGACCTCRAAATTGCTAATTCCAGTTAAAGAGCATCAGCATCTTGTAACTTACTGAAAATCTCAATTTTATAGCGAAATGGGCTTTACACMGAAGCTTTTAAAAAAGATAAGAACGTTTTGCGTTTGATCCTGCAAACAGCTTAACGTTTTTTTCAGTTATTCAAAGGAATGCTTGTTCTAGTTGCTATCTATGTAGTGAGTCCTAATCCTACCTGTATCTTGGCCTACTTCAACTATCGCAAATAGGTTGCCATTAATATTATTCTTTCCAGTCTGTATGGAATTCTTATCCATTGAACGGCAAGTTTCCAATGTTCATGGATGATTGAGCATGGAGGAAATTGTTTGCCCTTCACCAACGGCTAGAAATGAGATTCATTCAGCTGATTGTTACCAAGCAATAACGGAAAGGAATGATGGTAATATGAATGCATKGCAACTAGACTTACTGTAAAGTCAATGGTTGTCATGTTACACCCAAATGTTTGAAATTACCGCAATGAGACACGCATTTCTTGCAATCCTTGACAAATCATTATAAGCAAGGATGATATGAAGTAGTATTAGTCACACTTTATAATGCCAGTCAACTCCATTTGGACCATCAAAATCATGTATCTTCTTACTAAGGCCTGTTTGCATGAAGGTGAGGTGTCCCCACTTGTAGGGCTAACACGTTAGTTTTTAGTTGTTTTTGTTGTTGTCTCTTGGAAATGAAAAAAAAAACCTCTCTAGAACCAGGGTCACCCTAACTTCATGTAAATGTGGTTTAAATATTAAGAAAACTTGTGGCACAAGCCTACAGAATAGAAATAGGTAGCAAAGGCTGTTGAACATCAGACCTGTAAGCACAGCTAACAGGAGTCTGACTAAAGACTTACCAAGGCCACCTGACTCTGAACATCAGCTACATCTACTAGTATTTGACYGCTTTCATTTTGTACATATAAATACTACCCTACAAGATTAAGCTATTTCAATACTGATTTGATTCATTTGATTCCAGTTAATTTTGTATTAGACTTARCGTTAATGTTTTTCCATTTCATAGGAAATGTCTTCGTTCAATTGTTATGTTTCTTTAAAGAGAAAGGATTGAGAAGATCGAATAATATATTATTTGACCTTTTTACCTTGGGCATATTTTTCCCCATTACAGATCACTTGTCATTCCCTACAGTAGCATTTCTTTGTTTAATGGTTGCACATGACCAGATTCATGCAAGAGAATATAAACTACTTAGTCCATATTYTATTGATTCATGAATATACAGCTATTTTGGAAAACGTTGGTGAAAGTTTTGTTACATGTTGCATATTACAAGAAATTTTCCCAAACTGTGTCTGCACGTTTTTCCGAAGTATTTCCTTTTATGCTAAGTTTATTATTTACATATGACTATATTTAATATATTTCAATCTTCGTAAGCAAGATGCAACAAAACTTCACCAACGTTTTTCAAAATAACTGTAGACACAACTGAAACAAAGAATCTTATTTTCAAATGACATGTGGTCTGAAATGGGGAAAACATTGACCAAGCTATTAAAGAGGAACCATACAATACAATACAGTCTATTGATTCTTGCAAAAGGGTTTTTCAGGTGTGTTCAGAATAGTCCTACATCAAGCCAAGACTGTATGTTCTTGTTGACATATTTAAGTGAAATGAAGAAACATTAGGCCAGAGTAAAAGGGTTGCTATGGCTACTAACCCGTGCCTTGATGTGTGTACTACACTATGTGCAAAGGTAGTTATGATCCTAATACTTCAACTACACAGTATCTTCTGCTGACATGAGGAGAGGATTGATGTATTCAAAGCCTTCAAATTCTGTTTGGTCAATGTTCTCCAGCGTTTTTCTATAACGAAAAAAGTAAAAACTATTAACTAAAGAGAACTAGGAAAAAGGCATAAAAACCCAAGTTAATTCTAGGCTGCATAGCAGCGCTTTGTGTGCGGGGGGAGGGGGGGGGGAAGTGAAAGGGAGGGAGACGGAGGAGAAAGGATGTTAGCCTCTTACACAGCTGTTCTTAGCATCTGTCATGCAACTTTTCCTGAAACGTTGGCTGACAGACCCTAAGTGGGACGGCTGCGTAGGAGGTTCYGGTACTGTGTTAGCTTTGATTAAGTCTTGAACAGAGCTGGATTGCACGTATGCGGGTGCACTCACACGTATAACAAAATAATACGTTTAAGCAAGAGCCTTGTAACTTACGGATCATCTGGCGTGAATTGAACGTCTTCATTAGTAAACTGAGGGTCAAAGTTCTCAAGACCGTAAGGATCTTCCTTTCGTGGTTTAAAGGGTGGAGTTACTTGACGGGCTTCTAGCTGTTAATTGAACGTTATTAAGATAGAATCGTAATTAGATTAGTTGAAATTTGTGCTAATGCAATTTTGTCTACAGCTATTTTAAAAAGGTTGGCGAAGGCTTTATTGCATGTTGCATGGTACATACCAAGCCCCAAATGCACTGGGAGATGTGAATCTAATCTGCAAAGGTCACAATGATATGAAATTTTCCTAARCTTTGTCCACTTTTTCCCCGGCATGATCTATCTTCTATCTTCTATCTTTCTGTCATTTACATATGAATATGATACATTTCAAGCTTGGTAAGCAACGAGCAAGATGCGACATGCAAGATGCAACAAGAAACATGCTACAAAACCTTCACCAACCTTTTTCGAAATAGCTGTATATCACGCTAAAAACACGTGCCATGCTATGTCATTCCGTGACCCTGATGGCTGCGTGTCCCAGTTTAGCAGACGCTTTCACAGACCAATTGTAATTGGCTTTAAGGGTAAATAAACTTCGTATTATGGTAAAAACCATGGCACACGGGATGGTYCAGGTAGGAGAATTAACGACATTTGTTCAACCAATCGCAGTATGCAACTAAACAGAAATATCGGAGAAGGCCCCCTGTACCTGATGGCATTCAGAACCTACCTGTTCCCAGTTGACGGTCCTGAAGAACACATGGGACGTGATATCAGCAAATCCAGTCTGCGGGTGACATCCTAGTCTCTCAATAGGGTTCTGTAAACAATATAAACAACCAATCAGCATTAACACCAAGATATAGTATACAAACTAGAGTGGGCAACGCTGTGTTAGGAATCCACTAAATACAACCAATAAGTATTACGACGCCTTCCAATCATACGCGCGAAATCGCACAATTTTATGTCTCAACAAAAAAGGTTTTGGTGGACGTCAATCAAATAGTTTCCATAACAATGTCGGAAAATGCAAAGTTTTCAAGAGCACATTTCTATGGGATGTTGTGAAAACGCCTTGATTGACGACTTACAAAACTAAGTCTGTCTCATCAGCAAATTGTACGATTATCGCGCGTGTGAAGCGGAAGCGCTGTAAACGTGGCTTCCCGGCCCGGGCGCGGCTTAGGGAAACAACTCCCGCATGCCGTTSTGTTTCTTATATTTTACTGCCAAAGTTTTGTATCGCGATTCTCCTATCGCGCGGTAACTCTGAGCCGACGATACGGGTTTACATTGGCGGCTCTCTCCGGATCAAACTCATAGAAGAATCGCGATACTTCGGGATAGTGCTGCAACAACAACAACCTGCCCAATCAAAATTTCGGGAGGTAATATGGGGAACAAATACATTTAACTAATCGCGCAACATTGTTGCGAAGTCAGAAGCCAAGCGATTGCTGTTTGATACCGTTTCGCGCAATATTTTTGTGTAGTTATAGATGCCGAGCTGAGCTGTTCTTCCATTTCATACAAAATGGAATCAAGTTGGCTCAAAATTTTACTTCTTAGCAAAAGAATATGCTCTGTGCGCGGGGAGTGTGGTAATAAGATAATCATTTACATTTAAATTTAATCTTTTATTACCGCACAACTAGAGAAATATCAATAAACTGCGGCTCCAGAGTAAATAGAAATCTTTATACCTTGTTGAGATATCCTTTGAGTATCGACGCAGCCTTCACTGATAATGATCGTGGGATTCGAATAGGTTTCTCCAAAATAACTGTTAATAAAAATGAAACAATGCGTTAACGATTGGAGTATCTAAAAAGTTTTTTTTGTGCCATCAAACTTTATTGATCAGATGGCTCTAGAACAGTTCCAAATTACAGCTGTGTTTCTTGATTACAGACGTATTTACTCAGGGTTAGCCTCGTATCTGAGTCTAAATATTCACAAATACCAAAAGTAAAGTAAAGAATGCACAACTTCAACAATACAAACACTTTGAAACTCGAGGGACCTTCACTGGAACACATGAATATTCTGCATAAAGTCGAGGGTAACCCTGAGCCAGAGAACTCAAAACTGTTTTCATTTTACGTTAAACGTGACATTCTCTTTCATGTGAATGTAGTCTTTTTTATTTTAAGGTTGTGACTTCTGGTGTTTGTAGCAAAATGTTAAGAATTACATCAAAAGGAATGCCATTCCGTGCCATAACGGTACCATGCGCCACGGGTTCTCCGAAAAAATATACTGTTCATATATTCTACTTACCTTGAAAAAGATAATCCTCGGTATTTTGATCCGGATTATCAGCACTGCCTACGATATCAAACGGTGATCTTCCCGCCAACATTTCATACAATAAAACACCCAGCGCCCACCAGTCTACGCTGAAACCTGTAAGAGATAGAGGAGAACAGTAAATACAGACACCTCTCTATTTAAAGGATGGACCATTAGCTAAGTGGAAGGSGAGTTAAGTGTGAGCTAAGTGGAAGGGGGAGTTGCGGGAATTAATGCTTGCACGATATTTATTTTTTTGTAAAAACCCCTGCACGCAATTTGCGTGTGTTTGGTTAATATTTCTTTTCTGAAAGGAAAGGCTGCGCAATATTGTTTTCGTAGCTGAAGTTTTTGCTCGATATTTTTGGGAGATAAACGTACCCCCCCCCCCCCCCCCCCCCCCCCCCCCCCCTCCTCACTTATCTAATGGTCCGTCCCTAAGGGGACACCATACATTAAACGGACAGCTAGTTGCAACAGCGAGGCCCCATAATATTCTTCCCAATGTTCTACTCAGTGGACTTCTTCATTAAGTGGACTTCTTCATTAAGCGGACAAGGCAAGGTAACGAACGGGTGTCCGCAGAATAGAGGTAGCATTGCACACAGTTAAGGGGACACCATTCATTAACCGGACAGCTAGTTGCACCAGACAGGCCCCATAATATTCTTTCCAATGTTCTACTCAGTGGACTTCTTCATTAAGCGGACAAGGCAAGGTGACAAACGGGTGTCCTCAGAATAGAGGTACCATTGCACACAGCTAAGGGGACACCATTCATTAACCGGACAGCTAGTTGCGCCAGACAGGCCCCATTATATTCTTTCCAATGTTCTACTCAGTGGACTTCTTCATTAAGCGGACAAGGCAAGGTAACAAACGGGTGTCCTCAGAATAGAGGTACCATTGCRCACAGCTGAAAGTTCAGATAATATCTAACGGAACTGATAGGCGCCAATTTTGGGAGTAATCTTTATAGTATTATGGACTTCRTGGGTCTATTTGTCTACTGAATATATATAAAATAATGCTTAAAGGGACAATTGGATGAAAACGCCCCAAAGTCCGAATAATTGAAGTATTCGAGAATAATATGACTCAATTATAATTATGAAAATCAGATTAGTGAAAATGTTAGCCTGGGRGCCACTCGTTGTTGAGATATTTTGGGTTAAAAGTGAAAAGGACAATGGGTTGAGTAAATGACGTCACTTACTCACAATTTAGATGCTGAATAAAATTGATAATTTTTTCCCGCCACTTTTGACTGTGAAGAAAACATGTTACTTGGCTACTATCTGGGCCATACAGATAAGTTTAAACAAGTTTCAAGTCATTTCCAATGTTTATTGATTTTCATCCAAGTGCCCCTTTAATAATGAATGATTTACTCTTGAATTAAGTGCCAGACTTGCACACACACACACACTTTGCTCGCAAAGAGAGAAAGAATGCTCAAGTAAGAGTGGCAAAATACACAAGGACTGAAAGGATATAAGATGCTTCCCTTGCTGGCTTATGTGAGGCTAAGGGAAGCCGTCATTACTCACCATAGTCTTCTCCTCTGAGTATTTCTGGTGCGATGTAGTTTGGTGTACCACAGAATGTACTTGTTGAATCTCCTGGTCGAAGACCCTCCTATAACAACAACACATACATTTAGTATCGATTCGAATGAACAATAAGAKAAATAAAACAATCATTAGTGWTTTTWWWWAAAACTATTTTAGCCTTCAATTTCTTCGCCATTTATACATCGTGGCAAATACGTTTGCATATTTATATCTGAACCACTGATCACATTTAGCGATAGTGATGGTTGCCACATTTCTCTGGAACCCTTCCATTAGCAACTGCTTTCTGTAGAGACCTAGAGCAATCCCTTATCGTCTTGCCTCAGCCCGATYGTACGTATGTTGTTGGATCTCTGGACGGCTGAGGTCGGCTTTGATTGCTGCTTTAAGTGAGCTAATTGCTATTCTCCTACGCAGCCGCTATTATGGAGGCAGTTTCCTGAGTTTTTTACAGTATATGTATTAAAGTGATAAAAAAAAAAAAAAATCAAAAAAAACCCGCTAATGATTGTTTTATTTCTCTTATTGTTTATTCGAATCATGCAAATGTTTGTCGAACCACGCTATAGAATAYAACGTTGACCCTCATGATTGTCCAAACGCGTTATAGATTGTCAATGATTATGCTAATAGCACTAATGAATTTTCACTTTTGGGTAAATGATTGTCCATAAATGCWATTGTWTGTCWTTTGGTGTTATTGAAGTTGAATTTCGCGCACAAGAAAATACATTCCGCGCATATGAATGTACAAACGCGCTATTGATTGTCCATTGATGCCTATGAATGTACACGCGCATTCAATTATCGTTATTGAAAGTTGATCAGCGCTAATGATGTTACTTGTGGTGTTGATGAAAGTAAATTACACGTTATTGATACAGCTATTGGCACAAATAAATGTACATTTTCTGTTAATGAACAGCAAAAGGTGTACTGTRAAAGGTATAATGGCGCACGGCACGGTCAAGCTACGGAATAGTCACTTTACAGTTCCCTGCGCCATAGCAAGAATAGCGTACCACTTGGCCAATCATCAACCCCCAGACGTACCTTGCACATTCCATAGTCTGTAATCTTGATGTGTCCATCACTGTCTAGTAGAACGTTATCTAGCTTCAAGTCTCGATATATGATACCTGTACGATACAGAGAAGACGGTAAGGGACCTTACACCAATAGCAAGATCCTTCGAGAAGCATGCGATGTCATGGCACTGTCTCTCATCGCTCAGTAGTTCAACTGAAGCTGTGSGTTCCGGCGATTCTCGACTGAACCGCACATGTCAGTTGAGTTTGTTTAATGTGTTATCTCCTATGCTACGAGGGTTTTCTCCGGGTTCTCCTGTTTTCCTCCCTCCACAATAATCAACATGACAGTTAAGTGTTGTGTGTTGTAAATAGTGAACGTAGCGCGGTAGTGCGCCTGGAGCGAACCTCACGTAGCCTTACTCACTGGTCGTAAAATAATTTTCTATATAAGTTTTTGCTTGCTATTGCTATGTATACACTGATACCTACCTTTTTCATGCAGAAAATTCAAAGCGCAGCATATCTCTGCGGCATAAAACCTGAAACACGGAATAAAGTCACTTTTAAGTAGTAGACTTCGACAGGGTCCCGAGTACTGACCACACAGACCCCTGGTTACGCCCCTTTTTAATGATAAATCGCATAAAGTGTATAACTCATAWAATGTATAAATGCCAGACATGGAGCTAATCAAATGTACCCCGTCGTTCACAATGCGATATAACTTTAGTGCTTATGGAAACAAAAATTAATATAACTTTAAKATCTGAGGTAAGGAGTGAATAAAGCATCATTTATCGTGTAAAAATATTATWTGGCAAATCGTAAGATCGTACCTGGCGTGATCTTCGGGAAGTCTTCTTTGTCGTTGCATATGATACATTAGATCACCACCGCTTACATACTCGATCACAAAGAACAATCTACAGTAACAAATATCTTATATCAGTGCATGGTGCAGCACAGAACTCTGGAATAAATGATCTAATTTTGCGCCGATTAGGAAAACCTCTCTAAATTAGTTTTTGTCTGTTTCGTCGTTAGTTTTAGACTGCGAAAAATGCACGGCACGAACACGGTCGTGACACGGCAAGCGGGATACGCCAGAATAATCACATTGCTCAAGAATTTACTCTCCATCCCATCAAATACTCGGAACACGGCATAAACACAGTCAAGATCACGGCACTGTCAGACCAATCACATCTGTGAAGCATGGTTGGCGTAACGGTGAGTGCTCGCCCCTCAGCAATGCGACCCGGGTTCCAGTCCCTACGAGCTCGGTGTTGTATGTGAGTAGAGTTGTTTGWTGGTTCTCTCCTGTGCTTCGAGGGTTTTTCTCCGGGTTCTCCGGTTTTCCTCCTCAGCAAAAACCAACTTCTAAATTCCAATTCGATCTTGGGCTTTCACCTAGCATGGATCTGAGGGTTCGGTTCATGATTGTCCCACTCTGTGATTACAGAGAAAACTGATAGATTGCGCGAGAAAAAATCCGCAATTACATTCTAGAAAACATTACGGTCACGGCCTGCTTACGGCAATGAGTTTTCACAGTCATGCGAAAACTGCTATAACACAGACGTTACATACAGAGTTGCCAGTACTTACCTACTAGCTGTCTGGAAACATGAATGTAATCCTACGAGAAACGGGTGATTTGTTGCCTGCTCGAACACGTGCTTTTCTGTTTGGACCCAATCAATATCCTGAGTTGGGAAAAAAATGAAGCCAAACAAACATAAGCATTTACTATATATTACTAGTTGAGTAACAAACATATGGTACAGGGACGCCATGTAACCCAGTGAACAAAACCTGGTGTGGATAGAGATATAGTTTGGGTCTACTAA